TTATACTTATAAATCGATTACTTCTCATTTCTCGTCTCTCTCAAAACACATCAAAACAAAGGTATTATGTGTTTCTTGATTCGAATTAGGTGTGTAATTTGAATTGGTTTTTCTTGTATTATCCAATTTCTGAATTTGTGTACCCCAGACAATAGGGACCCCCTCAGTTCTTAACAACCCCCGGTGTGTAATCGACATGTTGTTAGCATAAAAGATTTCAGAAAGTGTTGAAAACATGATCCTAGAAATTCCAAGTGTTAATTGTTATTTTGATACCCTATATCTAACATATATCTGGGTAGACTAGATTATTCTTCGCTATGGGTGGTTGGTCAAGAGCCTTCGAACCCAGTAGGAGGATGGCTGGGAGTCTCCAGGTTAGTTTGATAATGACCTAGTGAGGTGTTGGTTGTAAGCTAGCTGGGAATCTACAGATAATGTGGGAAGTTGTCTACATGCATTTAAGGCCACTAAGGTGTTGATTGTGATATTTATTGTATGTGTGATGGAATGCATGGTATCTTGGGGAACCTAGTAAGGTTTGTGCTTTCATTTTAAAGTTAAATGTTGTTTCAGGTTGTTTCACTAACAATGGGAAATATTCGACTTAACTGTACATGTAAAAATTTCTTATTTTAGTGCAATGTTTTTTCTATTATGTTTGCAAGAGTATTTTTAGAGTATTATAAGACTCTTGTTAGTTACCTATAAACAGGGACAATATATGATAGTTTTCATTAATTTATTCATTCCTATCTTTCCCACGATAAGAAAGAAACCTATAAGGCTATAGCTTCTTAATCATTATCGAAATTAATATATAGAGCATGTTGTTTTTTAACAAGGCTTTTCACCCAACTATTGTTCTCATTACTTGTGATTTTTGAATATTAAGAAATACAGTTAGGGTTTTATTATTAATTGCAAAAGTGATATGAAAATGAATGGGCGATAAGACAATAAACAGGAAATGAAGCTAGAATTAAGTTATCTAACACTGCTCGGTATGGGTACCCGTTATCACGGGTGCCACATCAGAAAGAAGAAAAGAAGAACAGCATCGATCCCTTAACTCCGTCATGGGGATGCTGTTTGTACATGAAAACGCCGTAGTGTGGCCAAAAAAGAAGAAAAAGAAGAGAAAAGAAAGAGAGAATGGGGTATTGTCTAACTTCGAGCCCTCAACGCAAAGCCACGAGGTGTTAGGTCGAGGCTGTGTTTTTGGCTTCCCCGTGTCATTGAGGATGGCCAGGTCAGCCTCTCGTTGGCGTTATCTGGCCCATATTGAACAGTCTAAAATACTAAATACAATCCCACTATAAAAGGGTTAGCCTAATATAAATATCAAATATGCTAACACCCCTCCCCCCCCCCCCCCCCCCCCGCCCACCCACCCCCTCAAACTTATAATGCAAAAACAATTAAGAATTGATAATTTTTCAGAATCGAAATCCTGAGGCCAATTGATCCATAGTAAAAATATTAGCAATATATAAAGATAAAGGGGCCTAGGGAAGCAAGAGGATTCTGAGCTAGAGACGACGACGAGTGAAATGATATTAAATCTTAATATGTTTCATCCACTTATAGAAAACAAATTTTTGTGTAATATACATTGTACTTTTGATGTTATGATATATGGGAATGCGCTAAGAAACATCAACACCCATGTCTCTAAGTAGCCAACGAAACCTAACAATCTCACAAATACTCATGACCAAAACACGGTATTCAAATTCTATAGAGAATCAAGAGGAATATAATAAAAATCATTAGGATCACCACCAAAATCAACATCGAGAGGAATATAATAGAAATCAACGAGAGATATGTAAGGAGTGACAACAGAACCAACACATTCTACTATCATGGATGCAAAACTAGAAGACGTAACAGGAATAGGTGAATCGTGATACAAAGAGACAATGAATGATAAATAAAGTGACATATAATGAGATGCACCATATTCCAAGACCATCAGGAGAAAGGAATACATGAAATACTATCCAAAGACATACATAAATAATACATATATATATTGACAGATAGTAGGATTAGAGGTGAGAAACTACGCAAACTGTTAAAAACTAGATGATCCAAAGTAGATGGCGGCGACGTGGTAGCATGATCAATCTCTACCGAAGGTAAAGAAAAACTAGTAAATTTTAGTAGATGAGGTGTGCATGTGGTATGATTGAAAATACAAAGTTGAGACGGTCGATGTGGTATGAATTAAATAATCATATACACTAAGATTTTTAATGGTTCTTTTATTTTCAAAAGGTGCATTCGTCAAAAGAAATTTTAGAGGTTGGTCTGGACTAGTTTTTTAGCTCGGGATCTTTGTAGAAATACTATTTTCCCTCACCTATTTCTTGCATCTTTGGTCCCTGCCAGACATAAAAAGACTATTTTATCATTATCTATTTTTTTTTAATTACTTTGTTATTTATTTAAATGATAAAATACATTAAAATGAGTCCAATCATAACCCCACATTCACCCTACACCCTAACCCCACTCCCTCATTCTAAACGTGATAATCTGATATATATATATATATATATATATATATATATATATATATATATATATATATATATATATATATATATATATATATTCTCTCCCCATCCATCTTCTCTAAACCAAATAAAGAAAACCCTAAATCAGTGGACCTTCGGGAACCACCAGACATCGTTAGAAACCTCCGAACGTCACCGATATGCAACATCGACCGTTTCTGGAAGATGCAAGAAACCTTAGAACGCCACCAATCTACATCACTGATCGTTTGCACTTTGCACCATCGTTCTATACAATCAACCGTCTTTAGACGTCGTCGATTTTCAGAAACCTTCAGACGCCATCTACCAAAATAGCTAGCTTGGTGATGTGTATTTTTAATACACTAGTTTTTTATTATAATTCCTAGTTTATCGCATCTAAACCACACCTTACAGACAGTGAACACGATCGAGTATAGTATACCTTTTGATAAGCAAGGGTGTCGAACACAAGGGGAACAGTAGTGAATTAATTTAGAATGTTTGATTATAGGTTACACAAAACAAACGAAACAAGTAAAGAAAGATTTTATGGAATTACATCTCAAACAATTGATTAAATAATAAATCTTGATAAACTGACCGAAGAAAAAATCTCTTTAGGTACTTTTGTTTAGACAAATTACATCTTAAAATCATAGATAATTGCACACACAAATTTATTTATTCATGTTCACCGATTTCTAAAATGATTAGGTTCATGTTCACTATTACTAATCCTTTAGAAAACAAGTCAATTCAAGCAGTGATCAGTTGATTAAACTAACAGGTTTCCTAGTGTTCAGTTCGAATCAAGCAAGACTTGTAATAATAGTTAATCAAATTGGTTGGTTCAATTAACTCATATGTGGTTGGTCATCACACATGCTCACGCATTACTTTACTAATTTTTCTAGTTAACCCTAGGTTATGTTCACAACACTATACTTACAATATTTTTTTCACAAAACCATAAGATTCAAGTAATCAAGCAAATGTTCATACAACTCAATATACTTAGTCATCAACAGAAAATAATTGTCATTAACACATAAGGATCTTTTAACAAGCTTAACAAGATTAATTAAACATGAATAAATCAATCCAAATAGCAATTAATCCACAAAATCAAGGGTTCATCTAAACATAAACACAAAGCAAATGGTTTTAACACCCAAATCAGAAAGTAAATGCATAAAAACACCACATTGGAACACTAATCGTGGTCAGAACAACGAACCAAATGATTTCTGACATGAATCTGCTCTCCAAGCCTTCAGATCTTCGCTCATGTCAGCTTAAGGGCCTTCTGGCCGCCTTCTAGACCCTCAAAACTGCTTCTTGGGGGTTTATAATCGCAGGAATCAATCTAAGGTGTAAGACCTCAACTTAGGGCTAATTTTGGGATCTATTTATAATTTTCAGCGTCAACTCAATGATTTTGGACACCAACTCGCGAGTTCTTCATTAAAATCTCGTATTCCCCAAGTCAGCATCAAGAATCGCGAAGCTTCTGATCAACTCATCGAGTTGGAGGACCGAACTCGACGATTTCGTTTTAAATCAACAGTTTCTCAAAACTCGAAAGTCATTAGAAATTGTGTCTAGTTTTCAGAACATTTTAGAATCTCATCAATCGGAGTTACGAGTCATGAGATATGGTTAAAACAATGACGAGGGGTCAAGCTGTCTAACAACACCCTTTTTTGTGTCTTTTTAGCTCCTTTCTCCTCCTTTTGCATTCCAGCTCCCATTTTAACTGTAATTTAACATTTCATAGCGTATGAAGTATCTTTTAGTTCTAAATAGCATAAAAACATAGTATAATATAATAAGAAAACGTGATAAATATATGCATAAAATAGACGTTATCACATGGTGTTTGAATAAAATTTGATTAGTGGAGATGCAGAACATTACATGCGGTAATGGGGTTTACGAGAAAAAAAAGACGACGGTTAATAAATAGAAAAGAGACATCAGAATAAAAGTAAGGATATATTTGTCAAATATGTTTTGTTCTCTCTGTTCTACCTTTTTGTGTAGTTGTAAAATATAGGACTAATATCATAAAAGTGCTATATTTTTGCCACTAAATTGGAAAAAGCCCTAATTTTAATTTTTCGTTGACCGTGGACACGGTATTTTCATGGAATTATCACTTGAGAGCTAATACCCGATGATGAGCAGGTAACCTATTCTATCCGGTCACCACAAACCTATTCCCTAGCCATCAACTTTCACGAACCATCACTGATAAAAGGGTTTCATGAATTTGAGAAGGGTTTAACGCTGAAAAGAGTTGTATATTCTCCAAAATCGTTGGTGAAGTAAGGTGGAGTAGAATAAGACGTGTATGGAAACAAGAAATTGATGCTTCTGAGGGTGGTTATCTTCGTCTATGGAGTATGGAGTTCCAAGTTTGAACTAACGAGTTGTTTTTTTATAAAACAGATGGCTTCTACTTCTGGAACTAAGAAGCCTAAAGGGCCTAAGCTCCTTGAGAAGACATACCTTCCAGACTCCGGCTCCGATGATGAAGCATTTGACTTTAGCTTCTTGGATTTTTCCGAAGAAACTTTCAAATCCCCCTCAAAACTATATGATGATCCTTTTCTTAACTTATTCTGCGAGGAAAACATATTAAGGAGGATTATTGATGGAATGGTAGATGATAGAGACATTCCTGGTGGCCAACAAAATGAGCATGCCTACTTAAATGAGGACAATGAAGATGTTGGCTCGAGTATTGGGTGCATGATCCCAATGTTTACTGGAAATAGATGAAGCCCCGAGTAAGAGACTGTTATGAATCCCTTGCTCAACTCAGGTTTCCTTTAACTAACTATGCAGCCCATGGAGGATACTAACTTTATTTTGAAAAAAGTGATAGAGTGAGGGTTATAGCTAAGTGTGGTAGTGGAAGCACTGACAATAAAAAAAATGTTGTGTCCATTTATTGTTGCAGCTGGATGGAAGTACACTGAAAGGACATTCCAGATTAAATTTTGTACTGAAATTCATATGTGTTCTAGGAATTATCAATTTGGTTCCCTAGTTACTAGAAATTGGTTAGCCAAACACTACTTGAAAGATGTAATCATGAAGCTCAAGATGACATTGCTAGAGATGCAAGCAGATGTGCTACAAAGGTTTTCAGTGAGTGTATATGCCGGGCAATGCCAAAGAGCAAGGGCTAATGCAATGGGGGATGATAAAAGGGAAGTTAGAAGACCACTATGCCAGAGTTTCAGATTATGCAGCTGCAATTATGTTAACTAATATGGGTACAACTTGCTTGGTGGGGGTAGAAAGTAATCTGGGGTGTAACTATTTCAAGAGGTTTTATGTTGGCTTCAAGGCTTTCAGAGATTGATGGAACAGAGGATTTAGAAAGGTGATAGGACTAGATAGTAGTTTCTTGAAGGGGCAAGTAAATGGGGAGATTTTAACTGCTATTGGGAGGGTTGTAGACAACCATGTCTACCCAATAGCATGGATAGTTGTGAATGTTGAGAATAAGGACAACTGGACCTGGTTCATTGAGAATTTGGTTGCTGATTTGGATCTTGGTGTTGGCAATGGACTGGTTGTTGTCTATGACCAACACAAGATATATACAACAAATATTAGTATACAATATATATATATATTTCTATGTAACACTCATTAATTTTTACATGTCTTGTGTTTGTTTGTTACTTATAGGGACTTCTACAGTGTAACATCCCGTTATTTTCTTCATGTAAAGTCAACCCTAGTTAATCAAAGTCAAACTTGGGTCAACTAAAGTCAACTTAAATCTTATTCTATTTTAATTAGGTTAGATTAATATTTTATAAGTATTTACACCTTGTATTCAAGGTGTTATATGTTTAAGAGGTGAAAACTTGAAGTCCGAACACCATTCTTTCTTTCCCTTCGGACAACAGCCTCGCAACCGAGAACAAGCAGCCTTCGGCCGTGAACTAGGGCCGCAAACCCTCGGACCGTGAACGTCTTATCGGCCACAACCGCCTTCAGACCGCAAACGAGGTTCACGTCCGTGAACCCTTCGGACCGTGAACCCTCGCATATATATATGAGTGTTAGCCATTTTCTCCTTATTTCTCATCTTTCAACCGTGAATTCTCCCATTCTCTCTTAAGTATCATCCACAAAAGGGTCTCCTTTCATCTCAAAAACGTAAGTATCACACTGTTTTCTTGTTATTCATTGGAAACCACTTGCTTTCACCTATTGATCCTCCATTTTTCATCAAAGCCTTCAAGATCTTCAAGAAGTTCTGGCCGTGAACGCTTCATCTTGGCCGTGAACCCTTCATACATTCATCATTTGGCCCGTGAACACTTCAAGTGTTCTTGGACCGTGAACACAACAAGGGCCGCCCCTCTTGTGTAGCCGTGATCATCTTTCAGCTCTTCATTTTCGGTTCTAACACTTTATTGTAAGTGTATCCCAGTTCCTAAGGATGTTTCCTTTACATATTAACTATTATAGGCCCTAATTTCATACATATATATATATATATATATATATATATATATATATATATATATATATATATATATGCTAAATAGGATCCATTTGAGATCGGGACTTCACTTGGCATACCATGCATCCTATATCGATCTTTCATCCAATTCACTCACAAAAGGTGAGTTCATACCCTTACATTTTCATGATTTTTTAACTGTTTTAGTGGGGAATACCAGTTGAACACAATGAAAATTGTGTTAATATCTAAAATGCTTTTAAATGTTTTTAAAGTTGTTAAATTGTTATAATTATAAAAAATTACATATTTATATATGTGTAAATTATATAATTTGAATTCAAAAGATTTAGAATATATAATTTGACCTCATTTCCTGTTCCTTGTTTGGTTGTGGACTTGGGGTAAAGTTATATAATCGAAGGTCTAATTAATCACAATTATATAAATATTATGTTTATATAAATATAAAATGTTTTTCTAACTGTTTGGTACTATTTGGTACAAACAGTGAACTTCCTGGAATAACAGTATTACCGATTCTTACCACAGTTAAACTATAATAGGTATAGTTCAGAGAACTCATTCATTGGTACTTAACAGAAATCAAATAGAGTACTTAACGGAAAACGAGTAGAAAACATTCTTCAGAAAACAACCATATAAACTATATCTTATATAGTTTATGAAACTTACAAACTGAGTATTTATTACCTAGTAACTTTTCAATATTCTATACATAATCATCAATATAGCATTTATGAGGCAACTTTCATATACTTTTAAGTAAGTTTCCCAAAAGTCCTGAAATTATAACCAGAGTCTCCTTGAGGGAGAGCGCGACACTTGTGTATAGATCTATACGGGACTGACAATCCCGCACCACAGCTGCTTGCAACAGCTAGGTCGGCAGACCTGTGGTGACAAATGTCCTACCTATTGCGAAGCCTGAAGAAAGTCGTGTTCAGGCGATCCTTGGTCACCAAGTATGGTTATGCTAACTCACATTTTGATATTGAATAAAGTGATTAGTGTATGAATAAGTAAAACTTCACATAGTTTTATCTTTATAAAACTATAATACAATATTTTACCAGTCTAGATACGGAAATACTATTTTCGTATAGGAAAATATCTTTACTTTATGGTTTTATGTAAACTATAATACAGTATACTCCTTAAGAACCAGAAACTTTCACCCTTTTGCTTACCGAATAATACATCAGAAAATATAGGATTTTCTGGGAAAAATGTATTTACTTTATTAAAGAACGAGAAACGGATTTGAGATATAAACATGCTTATCAACTCACCAACTTAATTTTTGACACTTTTCCAAAACTACTTGTATTCTCAGGGAAACAGTAATACAGGTACACCACCGCTTTTGAGAAGATGGAGCTCTTTATACTTATGTCTTTTGAACTTATTCTTTTAGTGTTATGAACATTATTTTTTGAACACAGTTATAAAACTTATAACTTTGTAAATGGTTGTTGTTGTACTTTGATTACTATTATGCATTGTTATGATACTATACCTGAAGTCCTCCACCCACGAATGTTTCCGCCGTTCTGGTTTGGGGGTGTGACAGATTGGTATCAGAGCATTGTTTATAGTGAACTAAGTATATCAGACATAAAAGATATACAAACTGTGAATGCTATGGGGCTGAAGCGCTCTGACTAAAAGTATACTTTTAAAATTTAAGTATTTTATAAGAAGTATATTAACCTATATATATATATATATATATATATATATATATATATATATATATATATATATATATATATATATATATATATATATATATATATATATACACTAGAAACAGTGTCATAGTAAGAACTATACAAAAAGTATTTGGATGTTGGACACTACAGTTAAACCAGGACAGTTATGTAATCATATATGGGATCAATATAGCCTGATCAACTATATTTATTTGAGATATGATCAACATGTGTTTTGGAGTGATAGTGGTGTTTCAACAAGTCTAAAACTTACCTAAGTACCAGAAGAAACTCTAGAATCAAACATAAAGATAAAATACTATAGGAGTATTTTATGACATAATAACATAGAGACCATAAGATATAATAGAATCATCCTTATTAGGAACAAACATGTGAAAACAGAGAGTCATTATTGGTAACCGTGTATGGATTTCATTCTATTTAAGAGATACCACAAATACCATTGCGATTATTTACTTGTATTAGTAAACTCCTGTTGTAAATCGCAGAACATTAAGAGATTCAGGTTATGATATGTTTAGAACTAAAACATATTTGTTCAAAATCACCTGACTCATAATTGCTATAGAAAACTTATCATCATTTTCTCTTAATTTATTCTAGAGAAAGATGCCTCCTAGAAAGTCTAACAGGAAGAACAACAACAATCCACCAAATCCACAGCCAACACCACCTCCACAATATGATGTTGCTGTCTTCCAAGCACCAATAGCTGCCGCCGTGGCAGCTGCGATGACGCAAATTAATGCTAGTGGTACAAGTGGAGCTGGCAGTGGAGCTCTAGTTTCCAGTCATGGTGAAGGTCTTAGACACCCCCGTGATTGTTCATATAAAGACTTTACAAATGTGAAACACAAAACTTTTGATGGCACCGGAGGTGTCATTACTCTGACATGCTGGTTAAAGAAAACCGAATCAGTGTTCGAAATTTGTGCTTGCCCTAAGGCAAGCAAAGTAAAGTTTGCAGCATGTACTTTCCAAGACAGAGCCCTTTCCTGGTGGAATGGCTATGTGAAATCCTTATCCCTTCTAGTTGCTAATGTTATGGGCTGGGATGATCTAAACATCCTGATGCTAGCAGAATATTGTCCCCGCGGCGTAATTCAAAAGCTAGAGGAAGAACTCTGGAGTCTGACGATGAAAGACTCTGATATTGTTGCATATACTGCCAGGTTCAATGATCTGGTTATTCTGTGTCCAGGGATGGTTCCCACTGAGAGCATGAAATTTGAGAGATATATTTGGGGACTCTCTCCTCAGATAAAGGCAATGTTATAGTTGCAAACCCTCTCACTTTTGATAGTGCCAAGTGTTTGGCATAGACACTAGTAGACCATGGAGTCCGTCAGGGCTTTATGGTACCCATCCCGGAGAAACCCAAGGAAGGGGGCAACAAGAAGAAATTCTGGAACAAGCGAAAAGGGCAATTGTCTCAAGAGCCCTCGACAAATCAACAAACATTGACAGCACACGCTGCTATTGTTCCTGCTGCTGTTCCAGTCCCTTTTCCTACTTCTGTATCTACTACTCCA